ATACTGTTCCAGTAACAAACTGCAGTTACCTTCAAATGTCTGTCTGTTGTATTGTTATTCAAGTTGTATATTGTGGTGAAAAATATGAAAGGAAATCTCAAAAAATGTAATTTTCTAGAAACTACTCTTTGTGAGTGCAATCTTTTTTATTTATTTATTAATTCTGCAGAAAGTTTGGGAACTTTCTAATAATATAGTGTGCGGATATCTGAAATCCTAAGAGATCAGGTTCATGCGCATCATTCTGAATCATAAATATCACAAAACATCATCTGAATGTTGTACAAACATCTGAAGAACGTATTGTAGTATTTGTACTGAACTGTTCATAACTGCTTCCACATTTTCCTTGTGGAACATTTTATTTATTATTTTTATGTAAAACTGTGTCAGATATGGTTGTTCTTGACAACGTTTTTGACGTAGTTGCTTTGCTGTGCTTCATTTGCAATTATTTGCATGCAAACATTGATGGGCTCAGCTTCCTCTCTAAACATACAAGTGTTTTACCATGAGCGATTGCATCCGAGAGGAAGTTAAAAGGGCCTTGCGTGAGTTGAAATGATCAGTGTGGCCTTCTCAATGCAAACATGGTGAGAATCGATTTTCGACTCCGAACAAACAGCCCAGGCTCTATGCATTCTACACATGTAACCCCCCGTTTTGCCTCTAAATTATTGAAGAGCGATACCCAGAACACACCGTCGCACTCATACTGAGCAGTTCTCCCTCGCTTTCAGCACCTCGGCGTCTCATTGGCCGGTTGGAGGGAGGCTGCGGGTAAACGTCTGTTTATGTTTGCGCCCGTCTTGACAGAGTGAGTTTGTGTCTACGCCGTGGACGTGTGTGTGTGTGTGTGTGTACGCTGTGTCTCTCGATCACGTAAAGGTCAGGTGTAGGTGGGTGTGCCTGGTGTTGCTCGCCCATCATTCTCTTCCTTACACGGCTTCCCATTAATTTGGCCGCTTCCCCAGAGTGTGGCGAGACTCTTAAGGTATTAGCGCCGGCGCTAGCTCACTTCTGACTCATCTGGCATGCTGAGTTCACAAGCAAGGCTCGCTTTTCTACAGAGAGAGAAAGAAGGGATGTAAGCAGTGCTGGGTAGTAACAGTAATATGTAATCAGATTCCAAAAATTAAAAACTTGTAATTAGATTACATTACATTTTAGATTACATTACATTTTACAATACTCATAATCAGATTACAGTTTTTTTTTTAATTGATGATGAGTATGACTGCTTAACCCTTTCATGCATGAATTATGATAACCTCAGTCAGGATTTTTTTTCCTATGTGTTTTTATTGCTCTTAAGGCATGAAAAACAAGATTTGATTTGATTTTTTTTTTTTTTTTTACAAATTTTCCAAAGAGATTTTCAGATGTCCACTTGAGTGGACAGCATGCATTTATGGTTTAAACTGAAGAGATACTGTATTACACATAATACAATAATCAAACAGATAAAGTATGTGTATTTAACAAACTAATCAATACAATTATATCAAATCATGTGAAAACTATAAAATATATAAAAAAATATATATAAATCCAAAATATTGTAAAGGCAATTGACCTTCATACAAGTTGCACTTTGTGTATCTTTGATATCAGAACATGAGGACGTGATTCCATCAGAATTTTCTACAGCCTGTCAAGGTACAACTGTGGAAACCACTCAGATGCTCCCTCCAGTACCAGAGGATGTCAATTTACCCTTATTAGCTGATAATTCTGATTACGTTAGAGATGGACACATTTCTAGCATAGCCCTCTTCTGAGAAGACCTAGCGATACGTTTTTTTTTCAATCTCATCTGAAATGAGCAGTGTTGGGGCATGCATAACGCATTCAGATTACTTTTTTGATGTTACAAGTAAAGTAATGTGTTACAAGTAACATGCATTACATAATCAGATTTGTTTTAATGTTACGAGTAAAGTAATATATCACAAGTAACATGCATTACCTAATCAGATTACTTTTTGATCTAACAAGTAATGCATTACAAGTAACATGCATTACGTAATCAGATTACTTTTTGATCTAACAAGTAAAGAAACGCATTACAATAACGTGCATTACGTAATCAGATTACTTTTTGATGTTACGAGTAAATAAATGCATTACAAGCAACATTCATTACGTAAACAGATAACGTTTTGATCTAAGAAGTAATGCATTACGTAATTAGATTACTTTTTTGATGAAATGAGTAAAGTAATGCATTACAAGTCAAATAAATTATGTTATTACATAACTTTTTTAGATGTCAATGAAAATTACATTCTAATAATACAAATACATTTATTTACAGTCAAAAAAAGTTACTGCAGATTAAGTATTTTCAAGAACAATATTCACAGTATAAGTATGAATTGTAGCTGAAATATAGCCATTGATGCATGAGGTCCACTATAGTGGACAGATGATAAATCTGTCCAAATTTTCTCCCAATCTAAAATCAAAACTTGGAAAATTTTACTGTGATGTGACTCATTAGATATTGCTTGATGCTGCAATATTTTTTTTACCTACAAGAGTCTCCTAGGATAGAAGGAATGGGTGGATATTCCGGAGTAACTTGGCATTTCTGACTGACCATTGGCCATCTTGGTTTGGAGGGGGAAAAAATCTAAACACAATGGCTTACAACTTGGTTGCAATTACAGGAGGATGCACCAGGGTCCACTGAAGAGATTGATGTGCAACTTTGCCATCAAAACCCTTGCAAATTCAAGAAAATGCTTTTTAAATAGCTGTCCACTGTAGTGACCACTATGCGTGAAATATTCACAAAAATGGCTGTATATTATTCAGAATTCATTTAATATCCCTAATTTTAAAAAATTTACCTTTTAAAAGTGTATTGCTTATATATGTTCAAAAAGTCTTGCAGTTTTATGGAATTGCACGCACAGACCAGCCATAACTGCTTCCAGGCTATAAGTAAGGCTATACTTACACAGCAAATCGAGAAGCCAAACAGCATAATCAAATAAAATATTTTTCTATTTAATAAATATTAAATCTGTTTTAATAAGTGTTTTATTTTAAAATGATTATTTCTTTAATGTAAAATTTAATGTAAAAGTTTTTTTTTTTTTTTTTTTTTTTTTTTTACAATTTACAAACCCCCGGCAATTCCTTTACAAATCCCAGTTTGGGAAACCCTAACATATGTATTTGTTGATAGCAAAAAAAATTAAACAAATTCTTTGTAGTTTTGTATTAATATGGTACCTGATTGTCCTTTTCAAATCAATGTGATGAACGAGTTAGGTCAAAAGTAATCTAGAAGTAATCAAAAGTAGTCTGATTATATTACCTAAAATGTGTAATGTAATAGATTACGCTACTAACTGCAATTTCCATGATGTAATTTGCCTTCAGTAATGGACTACAATTGGTAAGTCTTCAATTGGTAAGGCATCACGTGGGGTGAAAGATGCAGACTAAATAAGTGTGGTGGCTCATCTAAAAAAATTGTGGCACCTTTTTCTCGCTTGATTTGGTTGCGCCGATCGCTCATAATGAATGGTCTCTAATGGAGATTGCGTTGAAGGCAAACGGGGATCAATCTCACCAGGCCAGGGTTGCAGTGAATGAAGGCCTCATGGGGATTCACCGCTGCACTTTCTCAGGGGAAGCGTGCAGCGTTCACACGCTAATAACATGCTTGAGCGAGCAGGTGCAGCTGCTTCGTGCTGAAATAATCTGTAATCATTATGATGTTATGAAAGGCGTAATCTGACAGAAAACTGAATGTTGAAACAGGCAAGGTTAAAGACTTTATTTGGACAAGAATCAATATGATATGGGGGGAAAAAAACGTTGTAATCATGACTGTTTTCATGTTGTTTGACTGTTATGACTGACTGCACATAGTTGATGCATAATGTCTTGATTGAATCTCTTTATTATCTTAAGATTTTAGCTTAAAATGTGTGTGTGTGTATATATACTATAACAGTTTGACATTCAAGACATTTATTTTATGCAATTGAATGTCTGTATATATATATTATTTTATATCATCAATATATATAATGGATGCTTTGGTTTGAATTTGATGGAAGCGTGAATAATGACGTAGATGAGCAGATAAAAGCTCCACAAGCTTGCTTGTTCTGGCTTCACCAGTGAGTGGAGCGCTGAAGGAACATGGAGACGCTGCAGATTTATTGATTTTGTTAACCTGCAGTAATCCACAGATCATTGAACCACTGGGTCAGTCCGGGTTATTGCAGGGGTTTGTGTGCCTAGAAAAGCGTAAACGTTTCAATGCCTGTGCGGTGTTTGTTTACTAGTGGCAGAAAATATTGTTTGTGTCTGGATTTCCATTAACGGTTATTTCTGGAACAGTGCATTATATGAGAGGAGAGTTTGTGCACAGCGGGAAGCGTGCAATAACATTGTGGTGGCAATGCAGATTCATTTTGGGACCTGACTAAATGCTACTTTCAGCAAAATTTCAGCAAATGTGCTATAAAAGGCTGCAAATACAGCGACCACACAAGATATTTGGGCACTGAAGACTCACTTAATGTTACTTGATTAAAAAAATATCAAACCAAGTGTCATCTGCAAACAAATGCTAAACTTTTCTTGAAGGTTTTTTCATAAACCTTTAGTTTTACCATTTGAATTGTTAATTTTGTTGTTGTTTTTTGAAATGTTGATTTTTTTGTTTGCTTTGTCGTTTCGTTTTTTTCTTTGTTTTGTATTGAAATGTAAAAAATGTTTGTCTATTTTTTTTCTCAGTGTTTTGAATCTAACCTTGTTTTGATTGACTTGTATTTTACTGACTTGTATTTTGCGCTTTAAATCAATGACTTTCATGTCTTTTAAATTTCATAAATTTTCACGGAGCAAACGCAGAAGGGTCACTTGTGAAACTGCTCCAGAATTAAGAGACGAGTCTGTAAATGTTGTTTGACAGCCCCCATCAATCAGTGTGTCACTGTCAATCTTAAATCTCAAATGTTTTCACCTCGCAGGGCTTGCAGACAGGGACGCGGGAGCTGGAGGAGATGGGAATGAAGTTCAGCCAGAGTCTTCTCACCCTCAGGAGGAACTCCATCCATTATAACAGCCGTCTGATCCACCAGGCGCCTGCCCTGCTGGACCTGGACGACAGGCTGCTCGACCACAAATCCAATACGTGAGTTTTAAATGAAGATATTTTGACCTCACATGCGTCTCGAGCTTCAAAACTCGTCAAAATAGACCACAATAAAAAGTTTTTCTAAATCAATGGTTTATACTCAATACTTTAAAACAGTGCTTCTCAACTGGGTTTGCTACAAATACAGATGCTTCAAATTTGCGAATACCGCAGAGTTTAATTAGACATAAACGAAGATATAAAAAACGAAGGATATTGAGAATTAGTGTCTATTCCCTTTAAAAGTAGGAATATTCATTTGAACGATAAATCTTTTTATTTTTCTATACACAAATTACTCAGCTGCATTTTATTATTTAAAATTAGCATACTAACAGACACTTTTTTTTGTTAGTATATGCACATTCAGCTGGCCTTGTGGGATTTATATTTGATGACTATAATTGTCTGTAACTATATTATGATAACGATTCTGCTTCGGTGGAGGAGAATGAAAATAAGAGTTAGATGCGCATTTCCTAAAGGAATATCAGTGCAAGCCCACAGCAGCAAAGGAATAGCATTAAATGTTTTTATTAAAATTAGCATTTGGAACATTATAGAGGGAGAGAGAAATTGATGGGGTTCTGCATTTATGGTTCACTTTTTTATTAAAGACCCCCTGTGGTAAAAAATCTAAATTTTAATGTTGTTTATATGTCTATGTGGTGTTTGTAATGTGCTTTAAGACAAACCATGTGCAAATTCATAGTTCAACACCATTGAAGAGTATTTTCTCCTTAAAACTGTAGTGAACCACCGCCGGTGTCTCTTACATCACAAACTACCTTGGAACCAATCACGTCACGAGGGGGGCGGGCTTTAGCATGTCATCATTACTATGCTGCAAAGCAGGGGAGTCTCAAGAGAAGCCCACTATATTTTATCCCACTATATTTTTCTGTTGATATGAACAATCGGGTACATTTATCAATATAGCAGGTGAATTATGTATATGATGTACAGGTCCTTCTCAAAAAATTAGCATATTGTGATAAAGTTCATTATTTTCCATAATGTAATGATAAAAAATAAACTTTCATATATTTTAGCCCCTTAAGTGTCACGGGCCCACCGGTGGGCCCAAATTCTTTACATTTTTAAAACAGTAATATCCTATACTAAACCTAAACTAATCTTGACAAACTATATATCATTTGAAAGCTTACAATCTCTAGTTTCCATATTTGGTGATTGATTTTCAAAATAAATTACAGAGGAGCCGTAATTTATCAATTTGCAACAATAATATTTTCATACTCTTAGACCTTTATTTTGAAATAGTGATGAACATGAAAAATCATGAAAGAAGGGTAGAAACCTCAGTTTGTTTTCATTCCAAGAGTTCAAAAGATAGCATCCATTCAATTATTAAAAAAAAAAAGGTCTGAATTTTTTTTTTATATATAAAGAAAAAAATTATATGATGTGGCAGGAAGCTGAAACGCACATGCGTGTTCTTTTTATGTTTCTTAGAGGTTGAAATCATATCAAAATCTGCCAAACTTCTCATATTACTTCTGAATAGGATGTCTACTTCATAAATTGTATGAAAATTGTGGAAATAATGGTTCATATCACTCAAAACACATATGGAAATGGAGGCGCCCTTATATGGGCAGTGATGGAGTCTGGTTGTCATCTAGTGAAAAAGTTTGGTACTGCGCCCAAACAAAATCTTACTGAAAGCTCATTTTTTGAGATATCAACCTAAAATTTGAAACACAACTTGTTCAGATTTTTGGCTTTGATTTCTTTGCAGTTTTAGAGTCGCCCAGGTTTTGAAAATATATATTTTATATAAAATATGAATAATTAAAAATTTTACATTGTACATTTTCATAAACTCAAACTTCTATAACTTTTTTTCTGTTTCACTTTCTTAATTTATTTCACTTCTACAAGAATCTGCCAAATGTCTTCTTTAAAACAAGACCAATCTTACGTCTATATTCCAAAGCATTCTTGAATTACAACCATTTAAGTTCGAAATGTGCATTTTCATGTATATTCAAAAAAAGGGGGGTGACACTTAAAGGGTTAGATTCATTGCACACCAACTGAAATATTTCAGATCTTTTATTGTTTTAATACTGATGATTTTGGCATGCAGCTCATGAAAACCCAAAATTCCTGTCTAAAAAAATTATCATATTTCATCCGACCAATAAAAGAAGTGTTTTTAATACAAAAAAAAAAAGTCAACCTTCAAATAATTATGTTCAGTTATGCACTCAATAGTCAATACTTGGTCGGGAATCCTTTTGCAGAAATGACTGCTTCAATGCGGCGTGGCATGGAGGCAATCAGCCTGTGGCACTGCTGAGGTGTTATGGAGGCCCCGGATGCTTCGATAGCGGCCTTACGCTCATCCAGAGTGTTGGGTCTTGCGTCTCTCAACTTTCTCTTCACAATATCCCGCAGATTCTCTATGGGGTTCAGGTCAGGAGAGTTGGCAGGCCAATTGAGCACAGTAATACCATGGTCAGTAAACCATTTACCAGTGGTTTTGGCACTGTGAGCAGGTGCCAGGTCGTGCTGAAAAATGAAATCTTCATCTCCATAAAGCTTTTCAGCAGATGGAAGCATGAAGTGCTCCAAAATCTCCTGATAGCTAGCTACATTGACCCTGCCCTTGATAAAACAGTGCACCAACACCAGCAGCTGACATGGCACCCCAGACCATCACTGACTGTGGGTACTTGACACTAGACTTCAGGCATTTTGGCATTTCCTTCTCCCCAGTCTTCCTCCAGACTCTGGCACCTTGATTTCCGAATGACATGCAAAACTGAGCAACAGTCCAGTGCTGCTTCTCTGTAGCCCAGGTCAGGCGCTTCTGCCGCTGTTTCTGGTTCAAAAGTGGCTTGACCTGGGGAATGCGGCACCTGTAGCCCATTTCCTGCACACGCCTGTGCGCGGTGGCTCTGGATGTTTCTACTCCAGACTCAGTCCACTGCTTCCGCAGGTCCCCCAAGGTCTGGAATCGGTCCTTCTCCACACTCTTCCTCAGGGTCCGGTCACCTCTTCTCGTTGTGCAGCGTTTTTTGCCACACTTTTTCCTTCCCACAGACTTCCCACTGAGGTGCCTTGATACAGCACTCTGGGAACTGCCTATTTGTTCAGAAATTTATTTCTGTCTTACCCTCTTGCTTGAGGGTGTCAATGATGGCCTTCTGGACAGCAGTCAGGTCGGCAGTCTTACCCATGATTGCGGTTTTGAGTAATGAAACAGGCTGGGAGTTTTTAAAAGCCTCAGGAATCTTTTGCAGGTGTTTAGAGTTAATTAGTTGATTCAGATGATTAGGTTAATAGCTCGTTTAGAGACCCTTTTCATGATATGCTAATTTTTTGAGACAGGAATTTTGGGTTTTCATGAGCTGTATGCCAAAATCATCAGTATTAAAACAATAAAAGACCTGAAATATTTCAGTTGGTGTGCAATGAATCTAAAATATATGAAAGTTTAATTTTTATCATTACATTATGGAAAATAATGAACTTTATCACAATATGCTAATTTTTTGAGAAGGACCTGTATATTACGATGTTATGGTGAACTATATGTTTTTCTCCACTGTTGTTCTGAGTTGTTCAAAGCGTTTCTAAGGATGCTGATTGTTAGAAGGCAGCTGCCTGACTCTGAGATGGCGAACGGGAACATGGTTTGTGTAACATTAGCAACACATTATTAGCTGTTTGATAACGTAGTCAAGCCAAAGGCTAATCATATTAATTAGCGTTATGTGTCCGACGTTGTAGTGAGATACATAAAATGCATTACCATTCTGATACATCGACTTGTAGACAACCCTATAATTCACTCTTTCTCTTCTTCTGAATCAGTTTCTGGTTCAAACATATATGGCTGAATTAAACCAGTATTTCCACTTGCCATTGTGCAGAGTTTTCTACAGTAAAGTTGACCGAGTGGATCTCTGAGCTGGTGTGAGTGAGTAGAGGAATTATTAAAAATTTATAAAAACTAAACATGCATAAATGTAAGGCTGACATTTTCTTATTAATTGCTGAAAATTGTGAGAAAATGTGCTTGTCCTGAAGAAAATATCAGGGGAGGAAATGTTGAGGTTTTGGGTAAATTTAAATGTTAGGATGTGGTTCTGGGTAAATAAAATGCTGCATCAGAGGGGTTTTGTTGTTCTCATGACTTGCTCGTCTTGTTTTATTGTCTGCAGCTTGTGTGGATGTCTATATTTGCATACTGAATTCTCACATAATTAACCAACCAATTGCAGTCAGTATGCAAATAGAACAATGACGTAATAACTCACGGTTCGATTTTTCATAGCACTGTAAAAATAGAATGAGGAATATCTGTAAAATGCCGCATTCTAAGCACTATACCACGTTATGATATGAGATTATTGCTAAAGTGACCTTGTTAATGATCTTTAAGAGTCATATTCCAGAGTAGCTGTTGCCAAGTGAGGCAGCCTTTTTACTTTGGCTTTTTAAATATGATCTCGAGCTGTGGGACGTGGACAGAGACTTATTCAAAGTGCATCAGCTCCCTTTCAAGTTTTCAATTTGCCACTGAAGGGGTTTCCTGGGAGCACTGCCACTTTCTCTGTTTTCCTTGCGTCTCTCCAGCTCCTTTCTTCTCTACGCACACTCTTTCTCTCCTCTCCCTCTATTTTCCATTCCCCAGCATCCTCAAGTTAAAATTCACTTAGAGTCTTGATTTCTGTCATGGAATGAAATGGACCAAAGCTGAGCTATTGATTTCCACGAAGTTCAATTAAATCCCTTTTGTGTGCGTTTTGAATTGTTACATCTTGTCCGTACAGACCGTTCAGTGTTCTGAGGAGATTATCCCACCCCTCTCTCTTCTCCGGGATTTCACGGCATTTCTGTTGTTCCCCTCTTCTTCTTCTTCCCTTTGCTGAAGAGAAAACTGTAAACTTGACTGGTCTTACCCGAGAGTATTGCATAACTCAGTTATGCGCAACTGTAGAATTCTGCTTATGAGCCTTGTC